AACATTCCAGACATTAGCATGGCCTCTGTGCAAGGATGACATGCAAATTCATGAAGTTCCATATTTAAAAAAAGGAAAAAAAAGCAGTGGGAAAATTAAAAATTTTCCACATGCAGCTTGGGGGATAGTCTGGGAAACAGAAGCATAGGTGGGCCAGGTGGAGGAGCCAGGCAAGCTTGTCCATCCATGGGCACCACAGGTATTTTGGATTCCCACCCTTATATAGTCATTTGGAGAACATGCCATTGGCCAACGGTAGTGGAGCCGGAAACTTGGTGGTCGGGTGATACCAGAAGTCATCTTCGGCTTTTTAGTTTCTGCTGCTGGCTCAGCCAAACAATCACCGAGTCCTGTCTATTCACTTCTTTAGGAGCCCTCCATGTCGGCCACGCCTCTCCACCCCCCTGCCTGCCTTCCTGGGATTCATTGCATGCCCACCACTGAGGAAGGCTTGGGCACAGCGGGGAGAGGATCTGCACCCAGCTGCCCACCCAGAATCATTGTCCTGCCTTGTATTCTTGTCGAGTGGCCCCATGCTAGATCCCCCTTTTTATTTTTTAATTTTTAAAATTTTTTAATTTTTAAAGATTTTATTTATTTGAGAGAGAATGAGTGAGCACAAGCAGGGGTGGAGGGGCAGAGGGAGAGGGAGAAGCAGACTCCCCAATGAGCAGGGAGCCCGATATGGGGCTCGACCCCAGGACCCTGAGATCATGACCTGAGCCAAAGGCAGACTACTTAACCCACTGAGCCACCCAGGCGCGCTATAGGTCACCCTTTTTAAATAAACACTTTTGATTTTAGAATAGTTAGACTCACAGAAGAGCCGAAGAGAGGGTACAGAGAGTCTCATATGCCCGCACGCGGTGTCCCCTGTCATTGGGATCTTACAGTATCGGGATACGTTTGGCACAATGAATGAACCAGGATCAATGCTTTATTATCGTTCACTCAAGTCCACTCTTTACTCAGACTTCCTCAGCTTTTCTCTAATGCTCTTCTTCTGTTCCAGGATCCCGTGTGGGGGCCCGCATTACATTTAGCTGTCATGTCAAGCTCCTCTTGGCTGTGACGGTTTCTCACACTTTTCTTGTTTTATGACCTTGACGGTGTGGGGAGTACTGGTCAGGAAGTTTGTGGAATGTCCCTCAATTTGGGTGTGCCTCATGTTTGCTCATGATTAGACTAGAGTTAGAAGTCAGCAGAGGCGGGGAGGACCACAGAGGAAAGTGCCATTCTATTCACATCTTATCAAGGGTACCATTAAAAAAAATGGAGTGACACTTGCTAAAGATGGTAAGGCCGACTTCATTCAGGACCACTGTGATAGGTGGAGGGACCACCACAATGGGATTTTGCAGTGGGGGAGAGATGTTGGCTCAACTCCAAGTACAGCACGGGCAAGTGGGGATTTATAGCCAAGGAGCAGGGTGGGGGTCAGCAGGTGGAAAATGACTCAGAGGGGTAACGGAAGTTGTGGCTAAACTGAGCTAATGGGGTTCTTGCTGAAGGCAGGCCAGGGTGATCCGTCATCCCCTGGGGGGTGTAGAGGATGAGGACCGTGATCAGATATGAAGGGTGGGGTACTGGTCAAACTGAGCAGAGTTCTTGCTAAAACTAGATTTTCCAAGGAAGTGCACAGCTGGGCCTGGAAGATTCAGGAGGCTGACTAAAGTTTGGTCAGGCAAAAGTCTTTGTCAGTACAGCCGTCGACATGACTCATCACCACTGCTGTTCACCTTGGTCACCTGGTTGAGGTCATGTTTGTCAGGTGGCTCCACTGTCCCCTACCTGCTCGCTGTAGTCCCTCTTTGGAAGGAAGCCACAATGCACAGCCCACGAGTTAAGGAGTTGGTTGTTATGTTCCACTCCTTGAGAGTGTGGTACCTGCATCAATTATTTGGAATTTTTCTGCAAGGCACTTTTTACACACCCTGTCTTCTGGAAGTTTCACAGTGGTGATGTTGAAATTATCTCCCATTTTCCAGAAGTGGAAACAGAGACTCAGTGAAGTTGACTCACCTTCCCAGGGCTACCCATATATATATATATATATATATTTTTAAGATTTCATTTATTTATCTGAGAGAGAGAGAGAGAGAGAGAACACAAGCCGGGGGAGGGGGGGGAAGAGAAGGAGGAGCAGACTACCCACTGAGCAGGGAGCCTGATGTGGGACTCCATCCCAGGACCTCTGGGATCATGATCTGAGCTGAAGGAAGATGTTTAACCGACTGTGCCATCCAGGAGCCCCAAACAGCCCAGATTTTAAGTGACAGGCTGGGACTTGAACTTGGGTGTTCTCACAATCAGCTCTTCTAAGTCCTAAGTTCTCTCTCTACACTGGCATTTAAATCATGCTACTGAAGCTAATTCATCCAGAATTCACTTAACCCCTGGGTCACTTGCGCTCTTCCCTTAGGCAGGCTCTCGGGGGCACTTCGGGGGTCTCTATGGTGAGCCCACCCTTAGGAAGGGCTTTTTCGGAGGACTTCAGGAACCAAATCCTATCCCAGAAAGTTGGACTGGGCTCAAACTAGATTTCAGTATGGTGCATATTCTGGTTCTGTTATGTAAGGAAGGCTGTGTGCGTTAGCCTGTCCGTCTACCTACTTATCTATCACTATCTATCTGTCTTGCTAAAGAAAAGGAAAGCTCCCCTTGGTTAATTGTCATGGTTTCAAAGAAGTGTTAAAAGAGAAACTGCGGCAAATTAAAAATGTCGAGTTTGAGCAAAAGTTGATTCAAATTGGGCAGCATCCCATCTAGCAGATAGAAAGGCACTCCAAGGAGTTGTACACAGTAGGAGATTTTTATAGTCAGAGGAGGAAGGAAGGGAAGCGGGGAGGAAGAATACGGAAACTATACAGGGCAGAAAAGTGGGTTGGTTATTGCAAGGTCACTTTCCTTTAGGGGATGCCAGGGGTCTATCAGGCAGATGATCAGGATCACTAGTGCTGATCAGGTGATTCCTGATTGATTGGTTTAAGATTCCATCTCCGGAAAAACCCAAACTGTAATTAAGTCTCGGTTTGGTGATTGGGGGCTTAGCATAAGCGACTCCATTTTGGACCTGTTGTCTTGTTTTTAACGGAAGAGAGGTTAATATCTGTATATACTTAGAAGCATCTTGCCCATCCTTGATTTCATTGAACGAGGCCATCTGTGTCCTGAGAAAGCCAGTGGGGAGGCGGGCTGGATTTCATGGATTATTGAAAGCTTGTGCCTGTAGTCAGAACAAGTTGGCCACATGTTGGTTTTCCAGAGCTCAACATAATAAGCAGAACAGTTCTGTATAATGGGCTGTTTGCTTTGTGGATTTTCAATATTTCCTCTCCCCGACTGTTCAGAGTGTTCAGGATATAACGGTGCAAAGGACATCCTGCTGCAAATTACGACAGACGCTTTCACATTTTAAAAGAAATGGCTCTAAACGAATTGCAGTTCGTTTCACTCTAAATCTGACAGGTGCTGCAAAGTGTTTTGCTGGGTGACAAACCTAACTGAGATCAAAGGACCCCCCCCCCCCCCCCACACAGTTGAGAGCATAAACGCTGAGTGACGAACCTGAGATCAAAGGACCCCCCCCCCCACACACACACAGTTGAGAGCAGTTAAACTGCTCTGGGCTCCTGCCAGCTAGCGTCTTCCCCACTCTGGCACCTTCGATGACAATGGAGGGCCGAGTGAGTAACTGAGTGAAAAAGCACCAGCTGCTGGTTGGAATCCGTGAGTCATGGTGATAGTGGGGTGCACCCGCATGTACCCATTTGTAGCTTGTTTCGGGTGAGGTCATATTAGTCAGTGTTTCTCTCTCAGAAAGCTTCATGGCTCACCTTTTAATTTTTGCCGTGAGTTCAGGAGATGGGCTGAGGTCCATGGTAAGCAGACAACAATGGTTCTAGAAGAATCCGCACCCCACTTTTTGTTGAGAGTGGGCAGCCATGAGACCTCACCTCCTCTGCCACATCCCAGATCTCATGCGCTACCTGTTGCAGAGTCAGCTGGGGAAGGGGCTTCATGGCTCTGGCATCTCGATGGTGCAGAGGCCCCCCGGGGGCCGGAGGAGGAGGAGAGGAGGTGATGTTCAGTTAATGACAGAGGGCACCGGAGTGTCCACGAGGCCCCACGCCTGCAGCCTGACAGTGGGAGTTCCCCAGGAACATCTGTGCACTGGGAAGAACGGGGAGATTTCAGAGGGCTGGATCCCCAGCGTGTAAGGAAGGAGACTGGGCACCCAGCCCCTCCACCGGTGCCCAGGGGAGAGACTCCTGCAGACTGCTTGAACTCTCCAGGGCCTATTAGCTGAGGTCAGCAGGGGCGAGGTTGGGGATGGCAGCTCAGAGAAGGGCCTGGGGGTGGGGTGCAGGGGCTGGGTGGGTCTGGGTAGCAACATTCCCCACGTTCCTTGCTTCCTGCCTCTGTGTGTGTGTGTGTGTTTGTGTGTGTGTGTAACAGAGAGAAAGAGACAGACAGACAGAGACACGTCTGAGTGGTAACAGCAGGTGACAGCATGAATTGGCATATCCCCTCGCTGTGATGATGACCCTCTCCTAGGGAGCACTGAGAAATGGCTCTGAGATTCATTTTTAGTTTTGCATCTGTTTGCGTTGGCATCTCCTGCTGGGAACTGACAGCATCCAGGACCTTCCCCCGATCAGCCAGCGTCTGCCAGAGGCTTGCTTAGTGCAGTTTCCATATGCCGCCCCCACCACATGCTGGCTCCCCACGGTCCCTCCTTACCCAGTTGACAGACAGTTGGGCTCCCCGGTGGGTGGGCCACAGAGAACCGGAATGAACTGGGGTGGCGCCCTGTGTCTTGCGGTTTCCTGGACGCCGTGAGAATTATTTCTCGTGTCTCAGGGGCAGCCTCAGCCACCCACACAGATGGGCTGGTCCTGGAGGTTGACCGTGGGGCCGTCCTGGCTCTGGGGAGGCTTCCGGGGCATGCACACTGTTGGTGGAATGGGCTCGATAAACGTGTGTGATTCTCTTCGCAGGGCATGCCACCATCACCAACTACTTGCTGAACTATTTTCCTGGCCTTGACCTTGAGAGGAGGAACGTGTTTGGGTTCACTGCCCTAATGAAAGCTGCCATGCAGGGCCGAACGGAGTGCATCCGAGCCCTGATGTTAGCAGGTTTGTCTCCGCCCATCCTGGGGCAGGGATGGGGGGTGGGGTCCCCAAGGGTCTTGGGAAATGCTGATCTTGCTCCTTTGGAGAACATGTACTGAGATGCATCAGTTCCATAGAGACGGAGCCTAGTGGATGCAACGAAGAATAGTTTCTTTGAAGGGTGTGGTTGTCATGAACTGAGTTGAAACAGATGGAAAGGAAAGCAAACCCTTCTGGGTGGGGCGGGAGGTCACATTACTGGTCACCCTACAGGAAACCCCTCCTTGCACCCTGATAAACTCTTCCCTCCATCTTAGCTTCCTCCTGCCCATATTTGTTCTTCTTTAGAAATGTGTGTTCTGGCCTTGGCTTTGAGCGGCAAGCCTCTCCTACTGAGGGTGGGCACAGGGATGGGGGTATCTGGGGGTCTCGGCTCCGAGTGAAAGCCTGTCTCATTGAGGGTGAGCACAAGGATGGGGGCATCTGAGGGCCTTGGCTCTGAGTGCAAGCCTGTCCCATTGAGGGTGGACACAGGGATGGCGGTGTGGGCCCAGTAGCCATCCTAGATCCCCACTTGCTGGTGGTTGGAGTCACATGCTGAGACAGGATGCAGCAGTTTCCCTTGTGAGTGACATGTCACTGAGTGGAAAGATGGGCACCCCCACCTTGCTTCTTCTTCTTTTTTTTAAAGGAAACTTTTATTTGGGACTAATTTAGATGTATGGAAAGTGACAGAAATAGTACAGAAAGTCCCAGATGGCCCTCACTTGTCTCCTGCATGTTAACATCTTACAGAGGGGCCAACGCTGGTACATTACTATTAACTGAACTCCAGACTTTATTCGGATTTCGCCCATGCATCCATTGCTGTCCCCTTTCCGTTCCAGGATCCCATCCAGGCTCCCACATGTAACTGTCCCGTGTCCCCAGGGTCCTGAGGCCGGGGACCGTTTCTCAGTCTCACCTCCTCATTCCTGACCTGACAGTCTCCATACCGGCCTGTATACAGTGTCCCCAGCCTGTCTGTCATTTTCCTTGTGATTACATTGGGGTTCTAGGATTCACAGCTTGCTTAGATTCTTTTCTCCCACTTCAATCTGAGTGTTTTAGGGGATGCTGGAAGAAAAAGAAATTCAGTAAGTGATGACAGGTTTCAGAGATGAAAACTTTCACAGAAATAAAAAAGAACGTAATTAGATTTAATCTCATTGATTGTGCTTTTGACTCTGACAGTTCATTTTTTAAAGGCAAGATAACAGTTTCAACTGAGTTTAGGCCTTGCCTGTCCTATTAGCAACAAGAGGTCGTTCTTCCTAATTAAACGGTGTTTATGATGCTTTTGTGTTTGGGGGAAGCTTCATCTGCTTTTACTACTTCTGGAGCTAGTTATAATTGAGTGTAGGTTTTTAGTAATTTACTCCCCCCCCAACTATGATTGATCGATTGATTTTTAATGTTTCAAGTTTTTATTTAAATTCTAGTTAGTTAACATGTAGTGTAATATTAGTCCCAGGAATAGAATGTAGTGCTTCATCACTTACATACAAAACCCAGAGCTCATCACAAGTGCCCTCCTGAATGCCCCAGGAAAATGCATTACGTTTTCCTTTTACAGTAGATGCGCATGTATGTCTTAAAAGAAAAAAAAAGACTTGTGCAATCAAAGTCCCTCCTGGCTTGGGTGGATACCAATAAGGATACTGGTTGGGATATTTAAAAAATGTGCACAAATATTTTTAAGTTTTGTTATTTAAATTTAATATATCAATATTTAGAAAAACTAAAGCCTTTAAAGATAATAATGCCTGAATATTTCTTTGGATTGGCATTTCAACAGCGAGTGCATTTGTGTGCAGCTGGGGAAGGTTCCTTGAGAGCTAATCACAGAATGGGCATCCTGTGATCATTTCAAAAGCAAAAGGCACAAACAGTATTACGTTGAATGGTTAGGGTAGAGATGTGCATCTATCTCATCCTCATTTTTTCAAGCGCAAGCATCCTTCTGCACCTGAATTGAATTTCCAAATTGCAACTTCATTATACTCAATAGGAACCATTTCCTTTTAGAAATGATGGATCATTGAGTTGGATGCCCCCTAAATGGTTTAGATTTTCCAGTAGTTCATAACATCCAGATACATACCATCTTCTTATTTTACCTTGTCAGGCAGAACGAAGTAACGTTCGAATTATCAAAACTTTGGATTTTCATAAAAATGTAACCAGGTTCCGAAAAGCTGATTTATTGGCTCTTTGGTTTTTGGCTTCCCAAGGAATAATGTCAGCTCTGCTGATAACGCATCGCAAATGGGGCTGTGGGTTCTTGTTAATTCAATGGAATATTAATGCCCCGAAGTGACAGGTCTATTTAAATAAGTGGCTCTGAGAAGCCATAACGAGGATGTGATTTTCTCTGAAGAGAAGCAGAGCTCAGTGGAGGTTGGAAGGCTCCAGACTCGCTTAAGAGAGCTGGCTTTTATCCCTGAAGTGTGTGATTGTTGTAGCATTTGGGAAGCAGACACGTGCAAACAAGATGCTCGCCTCTTCCCGTGATTCTGGGCAACCAGGCAGACTCTCGAGAGGTGTAGGAGGCTTGTTCAACGAGGGAGAGGCACTCCTGTTGTTGGGCCTGTGGCCATTCTTGTCCCAGGCAAGCCCTGACTGTGTGCTTCTGGAAAGCCAAGTGATTTGATATCACTACAGAGGTTTCTTTCTGTTTATAAGGAAAACATGGATTTCCTGTGACCTGAGAATTTGCTGAGTTGGAATAGTTTCAAATGATTATGCAGGGAAAGGGCCAAAAGTCAGGCATTCCATGTCACCGAGGGCAGGGTTTTAGCTTGGGCATTTCGCTTGGCCCGAAAGCAAACCTTGAGAAAAGGACTTGAGGGCAACTAGTTTTTCTGGAAGGGGAGCCAGGAAGCCATGTGAAGGATGGGGAAGGGGGATCCTTAGGCAGCTGGGGGTCAGCCCTGTTGAGACCCTCTGAAAGACCGAGTACAAGATAGCTCGGAAATGCCTTCGGGGGTGGGGCAGGCTGGAAGCAGAAAGCATCTCTCCCACCCCTCAAATCAGGTCTCTTTCCTGAGACCCTGCATCCTGATTTTTCACATCGATTATATCCCAAGTACCCAAGACACAGGCCAGGATGGCACAGGAGGAGACCTGCAGGGACAGGTCCAAAAGGGTCCCGTGAGACCAGAAAGGCCTCTTGGTGGGAGGGGGACCAGTGCTGGGCTTAGAAGGGTAGATAACATGGGGGGCTGGCAGAGAAACAGGAAAGGAAGTGACACACCCCAGGCTCTGCCTGCCTACTGCTAGTCCCATGACCTGGCCACGACTCTGCGGAGAAAGCTTCTGATGGTGAGTGATGGAAGGTAGTTTGTTTTCCTTTAGCACCTGTTTTAGAACGCTTTCTGCTTCCCGTCACAGACATCCTGACTTGACAGTGGCTGAAAGAAAACAAGCATCTGTTTTGCTCACCTCGCCAGAAGTCTTGAGGTAGGCAGTCACGGTGCAGAGCTGGCCCGAACTCCATGAGGACATCACAGAACTAGGTTCCTTTTTCTGTCCACCCAGCACCCCCTAGGACCCCCCCTTCCTCTCCCGCCTGAAACTTGGTCACCAGAACTGTAGGCTTCAGACAGGAAGCAGCACCACCAACCACATAGTCACTTTTATCAGGGTACAAAAGCCTTCTCTTTGGGGCTCGATGACCAGCTGTAAGCGAGGCTAAGAAAAAGGGGAACAGGATTGCAGTTACTGGGTTAGACCAGTAATTCTCAACTGGGTGTTGCCCCCCACCGCCCCCCCAGAACATCTGGTAATATCTGGGGACATTTTGGCCTGTCACAACCGTGAAATGCTACTGGCATGTACTGGGTAGAGAGAAGGGTTGCCCTTAGAAGTCTTACTAATGCACAGGAGAGCCCCCACACCACATAATGGTCTGGCCCAAAACATCAACAGTCCCGAGGTGGCAAAACCCTGGTTTACACCAGTCATGATGCATTGCCTAGAACTGAGTATGTTGCTGCCTTGAGTAAAACAGAGGACTTTGTGTAGACAACTCATAGCATTCAACATGGCGGCAAATGGATGCACGGGTGGGAGCCCAACTTTTGTCTGCGTGGCTGGAGCCCTGGGTGAAACAGCCTTGGGTAGGGGGTGAGGGTGCCAGTAGTTCATGGGCAGAGGACGCATACACTGGCCTATCAGAGTTCTCCGTGTTCTCTGAAAGGTTTCTGTATATAGGGTTCATCATTGGTGCTGGCCTTCCATGATTTAATCACACTGTCCAGGCTGTTAATATTGCCCTTACTGATTGCTGAAGGAAGTGGATCCCCAAATCATGGCATGAATCACATCCTTAGGCTGCACTCCTGTCCGCATGGCCTTGTTCTTCAGAATGTGTGCAGTTTCCAAGATCATCTTGAAGAGGCACGAGGAAGGCACAGGAAGAAATGTGCTACACCGTGGACAGCTGTTCCTTTAGTTTTCCATTAGCTCTTGAAAAATGTCTCTCTCCAGCCGTGTTCATTAAGAATTTAATTTTGCAGTTTGTACCTTTTTAAGTGACATGCAATTAATTAAGGTTTAATGTGTCATCTATTTTTTGCGGTGACATTTTTACTGCCCCCTTTTCATTTTTGTCAGTTTATAAATTGTACTCTGGCTAATGAGTTCCATCCCGATTTCCAGTTCCAAATAATTACCACTCCTCTAGTATGCCTATTTTTTAAATGTGCCCCAGGATGAAGAGCACTATGAGGCGATCTCAGGTGGGCTGGGCCTGCCTGGGCCGGGGGGCCACGGGAGGGGTGCTGGGGCAGGGAGGCTGGTGAGCTGTCCTCGCCTCCGTTCAGCACACGCTGAGCTGCCGCCGCACGTCAGACACCTGGGTCTGCGTGGGATATAAATGCAGAAGCCTCCGCCAGTCCTGGTCCCTGGGGAGCTCACAGACTAGATAATTGCCCTAGTTCTCCACATTGCTTTGCCAGGGAAAGTATGACTAATGGGACCTGAAATCCTGAATGATTTTTAACCGTATGAGGCTGAGATTGGACCAAGATGAATTGAACAGCAATTCCTTATTAATTTCTCTTATAGTACCACGCTGAAATTTATGAACATTTCATCAAGTTGAGTTGAAGTTTAAATTTGCAGTATTAGGAGGGGCCAGTGGGTGGTATGGGGGAGATTTATTAAGGAAGTGACTAGTGTAAGGGAGACTGAGGATGTAGGAGGCAGGGTTCTCCAGAGACGCAGAACCAGCAAGAGATATACATTAAGAGATTTCTTTTAAAGAATTGGCTCACGTGATTTTGGGGGTTGGAGAGCCCAAAATTAGTGGGGGCAGGCCATCGGGCTGGAAACTTGGACAGGAGTTAATGCTACAGTCTTGAGGCTGAATTCTTTTTTCTCCCGAAAACTTTAGCTTTTGGTCTAAAGGCCTTCGACTGATTGGATGAGGCCCACCCACATTATTGAGGATCATCTTGGCTCAGTCAACTGATTGTGGGTGCCAACTGCATCTGTGAAATACCTTTACTGTGCACCTAGCTAGATTGGTGTTTGTTTAAATCCCTGGGTACTTTAGTCTGACCATGTTGACACAGACCAGTAACTGTCAGAGGAAGCGGTCCTCTCTCTGCAGGGTGGCAGGAAGTGTACAGGGCTGCGACTTTCTCTGTTACCATCTTTGAGGCCTCAGGTAGGTCCCTTGGCCACTGTGACTACCATCCATTCTGTAACAAACCTCTATTCAATGCATGCCTCCTACCAGCCAGGGTGAGAAGTGTGAGGAAATGAAAACGAGTAAGATGTGGGCTCTGCCCTGGAAAAGCCCAGGATCTGGTAAAGAGGATAGACCCAGGACCTCCTAACCACTCAGTACAAGAAGTGAAGGACCACACATTTCCTGCAAAATAGGGACCCTCACATTCCTCACAAGAGATCTGTGAGGAAAACATGAGATGATAAGTAAATAGGACACCAGATGCCTTGCAAGTGATTATTCCTTTTAGTATTCTAGAACATTCTAGTAACATCATTGACATGTTCACAGAGCACCTTTGCTGTCTAGTCATCTCTCCATTGCTGGAAAGCCATGAAATCTTATTTCTTTAAAAATCCCATGACTTAGGTGCTGAGTTCAGGCAGTTTTGTTTAGGAAAGGTGGGCCATTAAACGGAGCACTTAAAGGTGGGTTATGTTGTAATAATAGTACATGCAGTAGTTCACGGTCAGCTGCACGTTCATCCAGGTGGCACAGCTCCAGGTAGTCTGTCCCTAGGTTTTGGAAGTTTTACCCTTGATCCATTTCACTCTTTCGTTTCCTGCCATTGGCCGGGAAAGTTCTTGTCGCATTCACCCATTACTGTTTGTGTTTGCGTTTTTTTTTTTTTTATTTTCAGGAGCAGATGTCCATGCCAGGGACCCCCGCCGTGGGATGTCGCCCCAGGAGTGGGCCACTTACACCGGACGGTTGGAGGCCATCCGCCTCATCCAGAGGCTGCTGGAGCGACCCTGCCCGGAACAGTTTGGGGAAAAATACAAACCAGAGCTGCCGCTGCCTCCGGAGGCCGTTCTGAAGCCCTCGGGCTCCAAAAACTGCTTGCAGAGGCTCACCGAGCTTGTGCGGTCCATGCTGACCTCCCGCTCACGCCAGGGCCTGGAGGATGGGGGTGTCCTGGACCACATGGTCAGGATGACCACGAGCCTCTACAGCCCCGCCGTGGCCATCGTCTGCCAGACTGTGTGCCCCGAGAACCCCCCCTGTGTGGGGAAAAGGCGGCTGGCGGTGCAGGAAATCCTGGAGGCTCGGGGGAACCGGGACACGCACGCCCAGGAGAGTGACAAGATCGAGGGCTCTGAGCAGCCGTTCGGGACCTCCCAGGCCGTCGGGGGCTCTAGAGAGGTGGCCCCGAGAGCCAGCCTCCCGTCTCCGCAGCTGCCGGGGGCCCCGCGGAGGACCAGCCTCCTGCCCCTGCAGCTGCTGAGGAGGAGCAGCGTGCGGCCCGGCGTGGTCATCCCCCGGGTGCGCATCAGCAAGGCGCCCGCGCCCACCTTCCAGCCGGAGCGGGCGGCCGCCAAGGGCAGCACCAAGGACAGCACCCACCTGCAGCTCCCCAAGTGGCGGTACAAGGAGGCCAAGGAGGAAAAGAGGAAGGCGGAAGAGGCGGAGAAGCAGCGGGTGGCTGCGGCGGCGAAGAAGGAAAAGCGGGCGCCCTCCTGGAGGAAAAGGACGTGAGGGGTCAGCTGCCTGGAAGCGTGTGCGGTGGGGGAGGGGGCAGCGGGGCTCCGCGCGGAGAAGGATGCGGGTGTGCCTCCCTCCTGCCCTCGCCCCTCCCGCAGCGCTGCACCTACCTCCCTGCACATCCCGGGCAGACAGGCTCCCTCGAACCTGGACCCAGAAGGGCTCCCTGTTCGTTTGCTCAGGCTGCACCCTTGTGTGAATTGGGCAGGGCACAGGTCGATTCGCCTGAAACCAGTTCCCCTAGCGATCAGTACACCTGGTGGGCAAATTTGCCTCGAAGCCTACCTTTAGAACCTCACTTGAGAAATTTATAAGACCAGTTTATCAAAGGGTCTGAATAATTTTGTATTTTTAATCATGATCAAATTTGCAGCAATTTACTGGTGATGGGGCTGTTTGTATTTAAGACGGTTTTAATACATTTGCCCGAAGACCCTTTGTTTAACATACTGTTTCTGGCAATAATTATTTGTGATATCTCTATGATTTCATACAGAATTTGTCGAAGTCTCCCCTTTCTTGCTGTTTGTCGTTCCTTCTCATTGGACGCGCACATGAGCATTGTATGTTCTTACTGATTTGATTCAGTGATTCTGAATATTTGTTTCTATTTGATGGAGGCATTTCCTTTTCCAGCAAAATGATGACGTGAGACAGGGGAATCAGATTTCCTTGTGTCTTATTTTAAAGCTCTCTTACTTAGACGGTAATAATAATGAAGAAAAACCTGTTGTCAAAGTATGAAACCATGCATAGAGAAGCATGTACTTATTGCTGGAACTAAGTATTTTAAGCAAGGGACTTTAGATAAACTGGATGCAAAGCCTTTAACATATTCAAAAATAGATAGGAGAAAAATCTATTATCTAATAAAATGGGGGCAAATGTAATAAATTTTTACTAGAAATACAAAATTAATTCCTCTGCGCTCTTAGATAAATTGAATTCAGATATCCTTAAAATGTAAAAAAGATGCAAAAGAATAAGGCACCAGAGTGATACAAACCGCTGAGAAGGGGGGTGGGCAAGAAGAACAGGGATTAGAACTGAATATTAAGCAAACTTGTTTTAGGCAAATTCTCCTGGAGTGGGTTGGATGGCTCCCTCCTCCAGACTCAATTCCTGGTGTGGAATTACTTTTATTTTTCCTTGGACTGCCCGTGATGTTCAGTTTATCCTCATGCGGACTTTGTAGAATTTCCAAGATGCGGGGTCTTGGGCAGAGCACGTACGTGATTTGCCCGGAGCCCTGAGCTCTCAGTGGGAGTTCTGTCCATACTTTTTTTTAATCTCCAAAGCACTGAGAGAGTCTACTGAATCTCTGGCCATCTGGGTTGCAGAGTATCTGTCATATATGCTCTCTGACAGCACTTTATTTAAAAATTCTCCTCCTCGGAAGCTGTAGATTTAAAATAGTGGAGACCGATTTGGAAGCTCTTACAACCCTGGATTCGCATGTCAAATCGTGCTCCCTGGCTGGGGTGTGATGAGCGCCTGTCTCATGACGTGGACAGGGATGGCGCTGGCCTCTCCTTAGTCCCTCCCACTTGGCACCGTGAGGCATTGAGCTATCCGGGGTCTCACACTCACCTCTCCAGAAACCTCAATTAACACGCATTGCGCAGCACCAGCCTGATGGGTAGGTGTGATGATAAGTCAGATTTTAGTGAGCTCCTCCCTCTTTCCAGAATGGCATAGAGGTCTGGACCCGCTTTTAGCATCACCGACACTGGGTGGCTGCAGGTCACCCTAGTGTCCAAGAGTTGGTATTGGCCAGGTCCCCTTGGATGAGACGAGAGCTGGTCCCCGAGGTGAAGAGAAACACCCCTAGTCTCCCTGACAGTACGACCCGGCATCCTTTGAGATCATTGTCTGGTTTATGTATTTTCATTGCTTTGAATGGCTGGCTGCGTCTTCTCACTGAGGGGTCGCCCTTTGCTGCTTGCTCGCTTCCAGCGTCGGTCAGGGGCAGGGGTGATGATGGGCAGTCACCTCCTCCTGCTCTCCGCATGTCCCCTCAGCTTCGTCGCCACATTTTTTCCCTGCCTTCCACTCTGCCCGCTCTCTTCCTTGCTTGCCTCTCCTTCCTTTGCCTGTTTACTTCGGCAGCTGCGGCTAGCTGCCCTGATCCTCCCTGGCACCATCACCCTGAGGTCTAAAAAGGGCAGAAAAGCAAGGCGATCATGAGAGGCAGTGTGGTGTCCCTGCTGAATTACGTAATGACCTCCACCGACCCAGTGACTGAAGGACAGATTTCCCCAGCTTCTGTGCAGATGGTTTAGGATTTCGGCACAGCCCCCCACACCTTTTATTATTATTACTTTTTAAGATTTATTTATTTATTTTGAGAGAGAGAGAGAAGAGGAGGGACAGAGGGAGAAAATCTTTCAAGCAGACTCCACGCTGAGCAAGGAGCCCGACGGTGGGGCTCGATCCCACAACCCATGAGATCATGACCTGAGCCGAAACCAAGTATCGGATGCTCAACCGACTGAGCCACCCAGCTCCCCCCTTATGCCCATTTAAGGGAGGGGGACCTAGTTTGCTCTCCTGACAGATGACAGCACCACTCTGCTGTCGGAGGGAATGGGGGAGCTGGGGTCTGCTTGCTCCCCTGATGTTTATTAACTGTAAATAGTGAATTTCAAGTTGACAGGTACCTTCTCAGGGATTTATATATAAATGTAGTTAGAGGAAAAGATGAAGTGTATTTTAATACTTTTACTAAAATGTTTGAGTGAATTATGATTACACTAGACAGAAGAAATATTTCCAAGACGACGTCAATGCTGCTGTCTTCTAGGGAAATGTCCGCCATCTCCCTCAGTTGCGATTTTCTAGTTATTGGAGACCTGGGACTTTGGCAGCTGAAACGGCTCTGGGGTGGACGTGAGGTTACCTCAGCACGTCTCAGTTACCTCTTAGTTACCTCTTGTGGATGTGGACCCTTGTATTTAAAAAAATTCAGCCTGTATGTTAAGTAGTGGTGGTCATGATAACTGATTTTACCTCTAGAACTGGCTCCTCCCCGTCTGCTCCCGGGTGGGCGGGGTGACAGTGACAGTTTCTCGTCCCGGCTTATGTGACTCCAGTGTTCCGTAGTCTCCCCGCTGTGCAGGAGGGAAAAGCTGGGAGAGGTTCGTCTGGAATGACCTCAGTGTTCAGAGCATAAACTCTCCATGTCTTTGGCCACCCTAGAAAAACACAGCCCAGAACATCATGGACCAGAACATCGTTGACCTTCCTTCCTCTCTCCGAGGAAGGAGTATTCCATCACCTGGCAGGCGCCTGGCAGGACCGGGTACCTCAGCCACATGAAGATCAGAAATTGCAGTTCCTTGTCTCAGCTTCAGGCCTTCCTGGGACACCAAGCTCATTCTGCGGAGAAGGACGGAGAGATTCGTGATGTCAGCTGAACACAGGGCTTGTGCGTGCAGAAAGGCCGTTGCAGACTGCCTCTCCCCACTTCCTTCCATACTTTCGGGGGTGAGCAGGTCTCTGGGGATCCTGCATCTGAGTGGGGGCCAGGCGGTTTTGTGTGAAACAGAATCCCATGAGGTGGGGCCAGCCCCCAGTCCCGAAATGGATGCAAAGCCTGTCATCCTTAGGGAAGAATCTGGGGTACCAAGTCATGAAGAAAGGTCTCCCCGAGAATTCAGTAAAGGAGCCAAGACTAAGAAGTGGGCCTGGTTTGTCCCTTGCAGCGTCTGGCAAGAGCCCTACCTCTCCCCCCTTGTCCCCACAACAGTCGGAGAGCAGACTGTCTTTTCCTAATTTCCCGGAAATTCCTCGGAGTTCCAGGCCTGATGTAAGTCAACCGTTCCTCTTTCCCCAGGTTCACCTGGAGACCCCTGCTCGCTCATTGCCCATTCTCGTACCACACACCGACGCCCCAGGCTCTGGAGATCCATCATCAACCATTGTAAAGCTTCTGGTCACAGGCTTTTACGTGACGGAGTGCTCACACTTGTTCTTTTTTACAGCATTCGGGAAAATTCTAACAGGTACCCTGGTGTTTGCTCGGGACCCTTTCCGGCCTGTGTGGGTCTCTGGAGGCTGCACTGGCTGTGGGTTCTCCACACACCAAGTCCGCTGTGTGCGGGGCCCTCGGTTCCTGAACGAACTTGCTGTAGGGGAGGGAAGGTGGAGGGGCCATTGCAACTGGTCCTTAGAGAACAATGAGGTCACGTTTCTGGCAGCAACTGGAACTGGGAAGACAATGGTCACAGTGGGGGTGCTGGTACCCACAAAGTTCTTCTAAAAGACTGCTGGCTGTGTTCCCCGTTTCACACCTTGAAGCATTTAGAACTTGTTTCGTTCGTCTGGGTAACTCTGGAGTCAGCTGCTCATTTCTGGGACCTTGATGAATTCACATGTTTCTTCATTAACATGTAAAAGAAGAGGCTAAAAAAAAAAAAATTCCTCCTGGAAGTGGTTTTTTGAAGGAAAAAACATTTAAAAAAAAAAAAAAAAAAAAAAAAGCAAAAACACCAACCCACCACTACCTGAACTGATTTGGCTGGTTTTCAATGCCCAGGTTGTGCACACGATCGCCTCACTGTGAGCCGGCCTGTGACAGGCACAGCGCCCCCTGCAGGGCTCCGATGGCCCTTGGCTGCTGGGTGTGCCCAGGTGTGAGCGAGCACACACACGGATGAACTGAAGGGAGACCGGGCTGTGTGGTCGCAAAGATGACCTCTGCTCTGGCTCCCGGGGGAGGTCGGGGGTGACCTGCTTCGATGCGTGTGTTCAGGAGGGTTGGACAGCCCAAGACTCACTGGAAGCACTTTGTCCAACGGGACACGTAACACGGCCAGCGTGTCAGAACCCAGATCTTACCGCGAGGCAGCTATAGGAGCTCCTCGACGAGGTCCAGTAGCCGATCTGGGGCACCTCTCTGCCTTTGACGTTCACCCTTCACATCGAGAGGCGGAAGCCAGAGACAACTCTGCTTGGGGAGCACCACCGGCCATTCAGCGGCGGCCACGGGGTGGGGGCCTGAGTTTCTTGGAATTTGGTGCCAGGTTAGCCGTAGAATCAACATCTTACCCTGAGGAAGCGCTAGGATTTTCCCAAGTCTGCCCAAGGATTAGGTAGTCTAGTGAAAGCTAACACAGTTGGGTTTTTGAGAGAAATTTATTCATCCTAGTGTTACACCTTTGTCTTGTTTTAAAAGGAAATGTAGGCGAGAAACAAAGATGAAGCTGGTCATTCCGGAGAGAGCAGTGACCTGTGTTGACCTGACACTTTATACTGTTTTGGGAGTTTGCATTGAAGCACTTTAATGCCAGTTTTTGAGCAGATGTTCTAGAAGCTGGTTTGGAACTGTATGACTGGAGAACTGGATGCGAACTATATAAGGGTCCTATAAACCTTGCGAGCCTTGGGGACATCCTGAGGAATGGGAATGAGATCCCCTGCTCAGATGAACAGAAAACGCTCTCCTTGGAATTCTCTTCTTTCAAATCCTTGTCCCGCCTGGCATTTTTTGGGGGCGTCTGAGGGTGTGTATTTTTAATAACAAGAGGACTGAACAGACTTCAGCACGGGAAGCCAGATTGCAAGTTAGGCCACCTCGGTATATAGGCTCTGTTCTCTGAACATAAAGCTATTTTCATTGTTTCTGAAAATGGATATTGTAAAAATGTTGACTCTGGATAGAACTGTGTACATTTCATAGGTTTTTATTTTGACGTGAGTTTTGTTACAGTTTATAAAAGCTATTTTCCTATTTAGACCTCAGGGCTCCTTCGGGACCTACAAATACATGTGACTCCCAGCAACTTCAAATCCTTGCTATCCAAAAGGTTAATAATACTCTTTAGGTTAAATAGGATACCTTATTCAGCAGGAAGAATGTGTCCCTCTTAACCTCTGACAAATTCTGTATCTCATATTTTAAAAGTATAGAAGAAAAATAATGTAAACATATGGGGGAATTGTGGCTACAGGATTAAAAATCACTTGTGAAATAAACACTCTCCTGGTACAATGGTGTGGTATTGGAATAAACCAAAGTGTGTATAAATGAGAAAATGAGACACATACGTCAGTATTTTTAATGTCCCTTACTTTGCTCGAAATAGATGTGCACTTTCTTCTTCTGACACACTTTTACTTTTCAACGGTAAGATTTTTAAATTAATGATTCATCCAGGAATATTTTCACTTATGTTAAAATAATCTTGTTGCAGTTTTCATCTTTTCAGGGGCATCCAGTTTTGCTTTGTCTGTATTCTTTTTTTTTTTTTTTTAGATTTTATCTATTTATTTAACAGAGAGAGAGAGAGCACAAGCAGGAGAAGCGGCAGGCAGAGGGAGAAGCAGACTCTCAGCTGAGCAGGGGGCCTGATGCGGGGCTCGATCCCAGGACCCCGGGATCATGACCTGAGCCAAAGGCAGACCGTTGACTGACTGAGCCACACACATCTCTCTGTGTATTCTTTACCTAACTGGTACAATGTAAATGTTGTTCTGGAGTTTCTTTATTTAAAACATGTCCTTGAAAAGCTTAAATCAAAGAACTCTAAAATTAACTTCATTTTCTTTTAATGGCTAAAAAAGTAATGCACACACTCAGAAAAAATAAACCAAACTCTGTAAAAGGGTCTCAGCTGACAAGCAACTGACCCTCCCCCGGGGCAGTCCCTCCGACCAATTATTTATGCATCCTTCTAGAAATAGGTTTTAAATGTTTTCTTCCCTTTGTGTGTTATACAAACGAGATCCCGGTGTACGCACGGTTTCCATCACTCCTGTTTTGGGGAGAGCACGTTTGGCCCCTTCGTTCATGTGGGGTCCATCCGGTATTCCTCAGTAGAGATGTGCCCTGGTTCACCGAACCATTTCCTGGTCTCGGGTTATTGCAGTATTTTTGGTTCCTACCACGTAGGAGTAATGAAGAGTCTTGACCTGCACAGGGAATATTTCTCTAGGATTGACCAGGGTGAAAAAAGGCAGATTTTAATTTCAATAGTCCTGCGGCGTTGTTCTTTCCACAGCCTCCTGAGTGAGTCCTCGGCCACCCACCCGTGGACAAAAGAGGCCGTGTGCCTCCCACAGCAACACCTGCTGTTCATCTGACAGGCTGAGGGCTGCTGGGCTGGCGGGTTAAAAAGCTGTATCTCATTTTAATTTTCAGTTCTCCAATTACTGGTGCGGTAGAGCCTCTTTTTGTGTGTCTTCCGACCATTTTTATTTCCTGTTTGACAGATTCCTTATTTGTATCTGTTTCTCATGTGTTTTTTATTGTACTTTTTGGTGTCAGTCTTGCCGATTTGTAGGATTTTGCTATAAATTTCAGATCATAGCTGTTTGACACAGATTGTGGGGTTTTTCTCATCACATATTGTCAAGGTGTCTTGTATAAAAGTGTGAAATTATGATTTAGCCAAACGTATTTTTTTTAATATTTGAATTTGTGTTTCTTTTTTTTTTTTTTTTTTAAGATTTTTATTATTTAAAAAAAAATAATCTCTACCCCCAATGTGGGGCTCGAACTCACGGCTCGGAGATCAGGAGTCCCATGCCCCACCGTGAGCCCCTAGGTTATTTTTGATGAGACTGAAAACAGCTCCTATTTATTTGGGAAATTCCGCTTCGCCTTTAGGAAGTCTGAAGTCTGACCCATTAACAGATCGTCATTCAACTCCCTGAAAATCATTATTATTAAGGAAGGACCTAAATAGGAAGTCAAATTTTAAATAAAATTTTCTAGGCCACAATTGTGATTGGAGATTATTTGTCTTTGTTGTTTGTGACCAACGTGTGTGTGTTGGGTAGACGTATTAGAAAATAGGAACACATACAAGGGATAGTTCTTAAAAAGTGAAAATGGGATGTGAAAAGTGAGGGGACGGGGGGGGGGGTCTCATCCCCTTTATTTCCCTCACTGATTCTGCTTGGGGCTGGTGAAGCTGCAGCTCCCGCCCACTGCAGCCGAGGGCTCGATGGGCTAGGCCTCAGGCAGGTGCGACCGCCCTGTCCCCCAGCCGCGGGAGCGGTGTCTCCCCACCCGGCAGTCCTGTGGTCGAGAACGTCAGGCCTCGGAGGACCTCAGGACTGGTCACTCCTGCCATCTCCCTTGTGACGTCCTGGCTGGTTTGCAGCCAGGGACAGGAAAGGTGGCCCAGGTGTTCTGAAAGCCTCCGGTCTGCTGAGGAAACAAGCTCTGAGGTGCAGACGGCTCAGGTAAATGGTCAGTAGGCCAGCAACTCCCCATCCCAGGGTTCCCCGACCCGGCAGCCACCAACCCTGCCCCGCCTGCCTCAAGACCTGTTCTCCTGCCCGAGCTCGTCGTGACTCTCACTTAAAACAAAAACCTAACAAAATGTTAATACATCTTCCTGGCTAAAAATAAATAAATAAATAGATAGATAAATAAATAAATAAATGTATAACTCAAACTCTAATCGACCTTGATATTTCAAAAGCATTATTTCAAGAAATTAGTTGCGAGGGTAGGATTTCAACTTTTCTTTAGCTCTTATTGAAAAAAGGAGCTTCATTAATAGTGCCAAGAGCCTGCATGAGAAGCTGGACGGGGTGCCTCTTTCTGGGCCACCAGGAGCAGGAGGGTTTGGGGCTGTGGTGGGCAAGTTATCTTGTAGCGGACAAGGGGGCAAGGTGTCTTCACTCCCTGGGCAAAGGAGTCCGTTGGCTGGGAGCCCTTAGCCGTCCCACTGCCCCATCATCCCCTGTCCCTGGGGGGCCTCCCGGGACTGGGAGACTGGCTCTTACCTACTAGCTATCCGGAGTGGTCCTTGCCAGGGGCAGGCTTGGTGGCCTTCCTCACCAAACCCCGTTGGGATGGCCCTACTCCCTTGGTTGGAGTACCTGATGCCCTCTGTGGGGTTGGATGGGAAAAGCGTTCCCTGGCCTTCTTCCCTCCCACCGCTATGCAGGTGCTGGGCTCAAGCCCCATCCCGTGCTGAGCGCCCACCTGTGTCTCTTGAACTCTACCGACTCATCCCAGTCGCACACTCAGGCCGGGTGCCCTGGAGATGCCGCAGCAACACTCATGTTGTCCCTGAGCCAGTGGATTGATCTCCACAGTCGCTTAAGCCAGTGGCTCTTCAGGGGCTAGCGTGTCTGGGACCGGCAGCATCGAGATCGCTTGGAAACGGTCGGAAGTGCATCCTGGTCCCCCCTGTGTTAGTTTCTTGCGATCGCCGTGGCAACTGGAGATAACTTGGTTGGCTTCAACCCCAGAAATGCATTCCCGCCCGGTCTGGAGGCTGGATGTCTGAGATTACAGTGTCCGCAGGGCTGTGCCCCACTGAAAGCTCTAGAGGAGGATCCCTCCTTGCCTCTTCCAGCTTCCGTTGGTTGCCAGCAACCTTTGGAGTCTCTGGCTTGTGGACACGCCACCTCCGCATGGCTGTCTCTCTTCTCTCTGTGTCTGCATCTGCATATTCCTCTTTTATGAGGCCACGAGTCATCGGATTAGCGCCCACTCTCATCCAGGGTGAGCCCGTCTAAATTGTATGTGCAATGATCTTATTTCCAAACGAGGTTCACGTTCACAGGCGTCTGGGGTTAGGACCTCAACAAATCTTGTTGGGAGACACAATTCAACCCACACCACCCCAGACCATGGAGTCAGAGATATCGGGAGCCTGGGAATGCTGCCCCCAAACTTTGCCTGCCCACGGGACCCCTTCCCAACACTCACTGTCCAGCGCCCCCACCTTGAGGGCCACCGGTGTCACCAGCCCCTTCTCCTCGCTGCACCCCCGAAGGCCACGAGGGCAGAGGCCACGTCTTTGCGGTTCACTGCCATCTTTCAGCATCTGGAACAGGGCTTGGCCCCCAGCAGTTGGTCCAGGAGTAGCTGCGACTGGCGAGCTGGACGCTGGTTTCCTGACTTGGGACTGAGGCCCTTGAGTATAGGCCGTGGGCAGACGTGCTCTGGGAGGCAAGCAACAGAGGAGCCGGGAGAGAGGAGAGCATGGACCCTGGGTCCACTCTGCCCCCTTCTGGCTGCAGAGCTCTGGGCAAGTAACCTAACCTCATGCTTCAGTGCCCTGGTTTTAAAGGGGGGTCACCTGGGGGGCTCAGTCGGTTAAGCGTCTGACTCTTGATTTTGGCTCAGGTCATGATCTCAGGGTCGTGAGATCGAACGCCTCGTGCAGAGCCTACTTGAAATTCTCTCTCTCCTTCTCCCTCTGTCCTCCCAATTCTCTCTCTCTAAAATAAATAAACAAACAAACAAATAAATAAATAAAGTGGGGATTTTCCTGGTTTGCAGGGTTTTCATGAAGATTTAATTAAATGACACAGAAACTGTACCGAGATCTTCAGCAAGGTTGACAGAGTTGGCAGCCACTGAAAAGTTGTTTCCTCCCCCTCTCTGCTTACTCCAGACTAAAACCTAGGGACAATCACAGGGACATCTGCTTTCTAACTTTAGACCAGACTCCCAGGTGGGGAGTGGAGCGCTAAAGCCTGCCCTCCCCCGCACCGGCTCCCACTTAACAGCTGCTCTCTTCCCATTGGCTCTGAGAGCTCCTCGGCTGTCAGAGGCCACATCCATGGCCCAGCTGGACCTTTTTATCCTGATGCCGAAAGAGTGGCCATGGCTGGCACCATCACCAAATGCACTCGACATCCCCCAGACGGGAGTCCCTCCATCCCACAGAAGCAAGGAGAAAAGGGCGTCATTTCCCTCTCTGTTCCTGGTCCTGGGACAGCCTCGGGGGCTGAGCTTGAGCCTCCGACCATGGGTCAGTCGGGGTCTTGTGGCTCCCTTCCCCATCTGAGCTGCTGTCTGTGTGCATCTCCCGGGGTCATTCATGGGGCCTGGGCTCTGTGCCGGGGAGGTGAGCAGAAGCTGGAGGAGGCCCCAAGCACACCTGGGGCAGCCACCAACCTCCTCCCTTCATCTGCCCAGGACAAGGAAAGAACAGACTTGCGCCGGGGGAGGTGGGGTCAGTGGTGGCTGTCCTGCTAGGGATACTGCTGATCAGGCCACGTTGATGAGGGGACTGGTGTTCCACAAGGACAATACTAAGTGACAGTGGAAACTAGCTCAATCAGCTCGGTAGAAAACAGCAACGTGGAAAGTACCCTGCTTTATTAGATTCAGCCTGGCTTTTCTCCCAGAAAAGCATACGGGGAAGAAGATGCTTGGCTTGCTTAATTAAATGAAATGACAATATACATATTCTAGGCTGTGTGGGGAAAGGTCTTTGGGGACAGACAGACAGAGGTCCAGTCCTGGCTTTGCTACAAGTTCTCCTTGTGACCCAGGCAGTGTTCATCATTTCCTTAAAGAATGAGTCTCTGAATGAACGCTGCGCACCCTGTCTGTTGCCTGTCCTGAACACAGTGCTGGGGGCCACTCTGAACTTAGACTCCTTACTGGTTAAGTTGGATGGTAGTCCTCAGGGGTTCTCCATCTCTTCTCTGCCTCCATGACCTCCAAGTGATCAGGAATGCCTCTCAAGAACCCTTGTGTTTCCCAATGGAAGGTAGGTCATCATAATAATGGTTTGCAGTTGGCATGAGGACAGACATGTTTTAAAGGCCCATTAGGAAGTCTTCTTCCAGACAGAATCCGGCCAGAGCTCTTCAGCCCCAGGCCCTGTGTAAGCCCCTCCTCTGGTGAACTGCCTTGGATCATGCATGGTCTCCAAGCAGGTGGAGAGGTGTCCCAGCTCTTTGCTCTTAGGGCTGCACTGCCAATCATGGTGTAGCAGACTATGATCTGTGTTTGGCTCGGCTGCTCTGGTGGTCTCAGTTCCAGGAGCAGCGTCCCAGACCACCTGGGTCAAGATCTTTCTAACCACCGTGAAAAGGAAGAAGGGTGGCCCCTGGGAGAAGTGCCTCATTTCTCCCCAGAGCCCGCAGTGGAGCCTAGCGAGGAGGCCCATCCTCAGGTCTTCTGGGAGGAGGGGGACCTCTGAGCTGGATGGTTGCTGCTAACCTGCCCTCTGAGCATCCAGCCACCTGGAACTGAGAAAAGCAGCCAAAGAGGGAAGTGGGCCTTCCATGAGGCAGTGAGAGCCTTTACTTCCAGCCCTCCACCAGCACCCAGTGGTCCTGACTCTGGTCTGTGCCAGTGTCCTCAGGGTTAGAGCATAGGACAGCGGAGCCTGGCGTTGCCCCAAGAGATCGGAGAATACAGGAATAAAGTGTTTAATTACTGTGAGCTCCTCTTTTCTCATTTACTAATAGATGGAAATTATGCTGAAGAAGTCATGAGCACAGGATGCTTCAGGAGCTCAGGACGGGAATGCACACGAGGAGCCTGGAGGTCTCACTGTAGGGTTCAGAGGAGGTGGAGGGGGGTTGGGCACATGGAGCATCATCCCCGACAACCTTACCAACTCTCCTCGGTTAGGCATCTGCTCCCTAGGGGACCTCATTCTTATCCTGTGGTCTCTGGATGGTCTCTCCTCCTTCCTTCCCTCACACAACCTTGACATCCTCTCTATTGCCTAAAACTCATCGGCCAACTTAGCAAAACTGAACCTGGTAGTTGGCTGAACAAGTCATTTACTGGGGTTCCCAGGGTTGCTCCGGGTGCTCCTTCCTGGAAACTGGCCTGTGATTTTCTGACCTCATGGCTTCCTGGAGCAGCTGCTGGAGGAGGTGAAGGAGCGATGTCTCCTCCTTGGTTCCAGGGAAAACCCACTCCTGCTTGGCCACTGTGAGCATTTGTGTCAGATGGGATTAGGTTGAGCTGCATATGAGCGAAAACTCAATATTGAGTTGTCATTGTCATTGTCGGTG